AATCGGAAATTGCTGTTTTTGTTAAGACCACCACACCATAGGATCTTCGAAATCAAGATCAGGAAGGGCAAGATAATGTTTTAATAAAGATCGAATAAGAAAATTATTCTTTGCTTTCGAATGAGTTTTAGCAATATTAATTTGACTATCCTAATAAAAATAAAGAAATAAATCAAAAAAACTACAATCAAATATAATAATAAATAATATCAATTTGCGAAGTATTACCGTGATTCCATGTTTTGAAGAAAGATGATAAATAAGGTTCGAAGTTGATCCACCCACAACTTTAATTCTTTGAGTACATTGTATATTATCATCATTCATAATGTGACATTCACCATATTGGGTTTCTTGACCATCTTTATTAGTTAATATGATCGAATCGAAATGTTGCCAAACCCAGGATCGTTTTTTAGATCCACCACGAATTTCTAATTTTTGTTTTTTAGATCTAACGATGACTGCCTCTTCTATATTGCACCTTGGTTCACGAGCCGAAGTATTAATACAATTAAAGTTCGCTCTCTTCATTATCAAAAGGGAACTCAACAGGAACATTAGCAGAAGATGCAATATCTTCATCTGATATCAAATCAAATTCCATGTTTTAATTAATGTTGTTTTTTATTTATTAGATCAATTTATATAAAATTGTATTTAAATCAAACGATTTATTACTCAAAACACAGTCGATTTTATCACTATTACGTTATTAAAACATAGTTAAAATTTAACCGATATATTCGATGAATGACCGAATTAAAAACTCAGTGAATGAAAGCTTATTTCGGTACTCAAAAATTTCGATCGATGATCGAATAATTATTCATCGATTCCACACTCTATGGACAATGAGCTAAATAAAGATACTTTACAAGATTTTTCAATTTTGTAAAATATTTTTAATATATTATTATAATAAATATATATTATATTAGTTATATAATTAAAATATTACATTAAATTTTAATAATTTAAATATTATTATTATATTATTTAGATAATTTAAAATATTTATGTTAAGTCTGTTATAACTATAGTATACTCTGTTTATTTTGCAAAAAAATATACTTAAAGAATTTTATATGTAAAAATTTTTAAAAGTTCAGTTCTCAAAGAGTTATATATTGCTAATCTGAACTTTATAATAAAATTTACAAATATTCTAAAGTTTTTCATTCAGTTCTCAGAGAATTTATTAAGTGTTAAGTTTAGAGAAGTTCACTTTAGAGAGAGTTGACTATATATATTCAATATATATTAATAAAATATAATAATTATATGAATAAATATAGTTGTAGCTGATGGCTACATATAGTCTATATAATATAAGAGTAATAATAAATTGTACAATTATTAGTATAATATATAATATGCATATACATATAAAAAAATATCGATTAGATATTAGTTTTTTACATAAGAGAACAAACCAAAGTTAATGTAAAGTGCAAGCAAATTGTTTGATAACCTTTGTGTTAAACTTAAGTAGTTCTATACTAAACTGGTTATTCTATCCTTAACAACACTAGTGTGGTAGACATTTATATTTTTTTTTTGTAATGCAAAGAAATTAGGACGCTTGCATTTCATTTGATGTATAAGTATTAAATGTATAACCAAGATGAGTTACTAGTAAAATAAATAGTACAGCAGCTATATATTATTAGTTTACTTACCATAGTTCTGTTGGCTCTAGTTGTTTTATTTGTTTTAGCTATCACATTCAAACTAGCTATCACATTCATTCCAGCCATTTAGCAATCTATCAATAAAATATATAACAAGATAGACAAGTTCCTTTAATTAAACATTATAGTAATCATATATTATTAGGTTATTTACTTGTTTTATTATTAGTTCTAGGGTTTCAGTATTTCAGGTATTTTGGTGTTCAAGATGCTTTAGCTATAAAATGAGGTAGGTTATTAGCTATCTCTTTCAATTAAATATTACAACAGCTATATATTATTGGGTTATTTACCACAATTCTGTTGTTTCCAGTTTCAGGTGTTTTGGGTATTCTAGGTGCTTTGGTGTTCTAGGTGTTTTAGGTGCTTTAACTATAAAATGAGATGGGTTATTAGCTATCTCTTTCAATTGAACATTACAACAGCTATATATTATTGGGTTACTTACTACAGTTCTGTTGGTTTCAGTTGTTCTATTTATTCCAGTTATCCAGCTATCATATTCAAACCAGCTGTCATGTTCAAACTAGCCATCATATTCCAACAAGCCATCGTAGCCATCACATTCAAACTAGCTATCCCATTCATTCTATCTACAAAATATATAAAGCAAAGTAGTTATTAGTTAGCTTCAATTAAATATTATAGCAATTATATAATATTGATTTATTTAATTTAGTTCTATTAACTCTAGCCATTTTATTCAAGTATTAATAATACAAGATGAAGATATATATGATATATATAAAGCAAAGTTATTATTAGTAATTTATTTAGTGAAATATTGTAGTAGGCCTATTCAAGTATATGAAAGTTAAAACTATAGTAATTTATTAATACGCTACTATAGTTTTAACTTTCATATACTTGAATAGATCTAGTATTTAATTCATTAATCATTTATCTACTCCTTTATTATAATAATTTCGTCAATGAAAATTTAAACATGAATTTTTTGGCACTGTTTATTAATAATGAACAATTATCTGATAGTGTTATTAATATACCTAAACCCCTTTTATTAATTTCAATACCAGTATCTGGTATGTGGTTTGAATCATGGACATAAATTGATAGATATATTGATATTTATTGTAATTCTAAAAACTTTTCTAAAGTTATTTATAGTGCAGAATATGATAATAAAATAAGATGACATTGTTGTTATAAATGTGAATATCAGGTAATTATCAAGAAAAAAAAATGATGATTATTGAAAACTAGCATAATACATGTTCCAAATATAGTAGATGTCCATGGTTCATAAATACCATATATCCAAAAACAACCAGCATTATTAGTATTACCACTCTAAGTTTAGAACATGAGACTATCCTTTAGATCCCTTTACTAGTAAATTTGTATTACTTATCGAATGTTAACTGAGCTAATATTGGCTAATATAGAGTTTTAAACAACTAAAGAAAATCTTAATATGTATACTCAATAGCAATTACTTGAAGCGAAATATAAAACTATTTTTTTTTATCTCAAGACCTGTCAAATGCTATTCAAAAGGTTAAAACTAAACAAAAGGTTGATTATAAAGCTGCAACACTGGTTAATCACCTTATTGAATGTAAAGCTAAGGATATTAAATGAACTATAAATTAGCATATAGACCTGGCAACAAACACTTTAGTATCAATATTTTGGATGACTCTAGAACAATATGAACTTTACTTACAATATAGTGATATTGTACAATATGATAATACTTACTCTACTAATAAATTTAAAATAGTGCTTGGACTTTTTGTTATTGTTGATAATTATAATAGATCTAGGTTAGTTGGGCAAACATTAATGACTAATGAAACTTTAGAGAGTTTTAAATGGGTATTTGATTTACTTAATAAAGAAACAAATATCTTTTCTTCAGTTATTATAACAGACAATAACCTTGCTATTGATGCTGCAATTGCAAACATAATACCTAATACTTATCATATACATTGTATATACTATATTGGACAAAATTTATTAAAGAATTTAAAGTTTAAGTTAGGTTTAGAATATAATAATTTTATTAAACCTTAGTATAAAATAAGGAATACAGTATCTCAAACTGAATTTGACCATCTTTGAGACTCTTTACTTGAACAATATTCATCTCAGAAGCATATCTTAATAGAGTGCTTGGTTCTCAAAAATATAAATAGGCTTTTTCTTATATTTTATATATTTTTACAAAAGGGATTTAAAGTACACAAAGAGCAGAAAAGCAAAATGTGATAATTAAAAATGCTATTAATAGTCACACATCTTTCTTAGATCTTTTTAAAAAAATTGAAATACAACTCAATTGTGTATCTACTACAATACAATATAAAAATTGGGTTTATTCTATAACTGGTTCAATGCTTATACATTTAAGTCATGACTTTTTACCTATAATTGATAAATAGATTGTTGACTATTTAACTTCCACTGCTTTTTCTATTTAAAGACAAGAAATAGCACAAGCCGTCTAGTATGTTACTTAATGTTCTTTACTTATTGTCCTTTTATATGGGCTGCAATCAATAAAAATCAAGCAGATTTATTAAATAAATCTGTTTGATTTTAATTAATTGCAGTCCATATAGTTATTATCAGTGTTGGATTATAATTTGCCATGACCTGTTAAGTAATTATTGGTTATAATTTTACAACCTGTTATAAAAAAAATATATTAGATACACTTCTCAACAAGTTGATAAGAATTGCACTTTGGAGATTGAAAATAAAGATGAGTTACTTAATACTGATTTAATTGAAGATACTATTGACATTTCATTAATAGTCTTAAAAAAGCTTATTCTAACCAATAGATATAATAACATTGTTGAGATTTGGAAACTTGTTTGCTATAGATGTACAAAAAAAAATTATGTTGTTTTTTTTGATAATAAATCTCACCTTTGTATATGCCTAGGTCTTGTTTGATGTAGTATTGTTTGCCGTTACTTTTTTCACCTGTTAGAAAATTCAATATATACAAAATTTCATATAATGTTAATATCTAAATGATGGTATAATAATAAAAAACAATGTGAATCTACCTCAATCCTTTGTCAACAACTTTTTACTAATGGCTTTCAGGAACCTTCTGTTAATACCTTACAAACTGAAACCTTTCTAAAAATGCTTTATAAAATAGTTAATATTCTTTATAAACATGTTTATAATTTCTTAAATCAACGAAAAGAATATGCAATAGCTAATGAACTTTTGAAAAAAACGATTCAATTGGGGTTGGATGGCAATACAAAATTTAACTGATTTTATAAAAACTTTATAACAAAGCATACACCAAATCAGAAATCACTCTGAAGAAATTCTAGAACTTTGTTAGCTAAATCTTACAATATACCAGCCAGCTCTGATGAATCTGATAGCTTTGATAGTTCTGACTTAAATTATGATAACAATGAATTAGATTCTCAAGATATTGAGAATATAAATCTATCTTTAATTCAAAATCCTATTGTTAATGCAAGAAAAGGTGCTCAATGCAAACAAAGTTTAAAGGATTATATGAGGTAAAACAGAAAAATGCAAAACTAAAGAGTAAAAATCTACAGAATGTTAGCAGTGTCATAAAGTTGGACATAATAAAGCTGAATATGAAAAATGGTATCAAAAAAATCAAATTCTATATTCTTTTTAGATATAGAATATTGTGTTATTGAGATATATATATGTGCATAAATTGATATTTATTGCTTTTAATGTCTACTAATTACTTTGAATTGTTATATATTTGTAAATAAGTACTTATCTGAAGTTATATAAAGTTTTTGCCTTGAAAATAACTTTATAGAACATAGTATTTATTATGTTCTATAAGGTTATTTTTAAGGCAAAAACTCTATATGTTATTATTAGTAAGTTGGTAGTTAAAGTTACTCTAAATAGTTTATATTAGAATTAGTAAGTTGGTAGTTAGAATAGTTAGTAAGATATTAGATTTAGAAATTTGTTGTTAGCAAGTTATAATTAGTAAGTTATTAAGTAGATTAGTGGGTAATTGTATTAGATTAGCAATATTGTAGTTAGTGGATTATAATTAGCAAGTTATTAAGTAGCTAGTTTAGTGGTTGATTATTAGATTAGAATTAGAGTATATTTAGAAAATAATAGTTAGAGTTAGAAAGTATTGTTAGTTTGTTAGTTAGCAGGTTGTTAGTTAGCAGATTAAGGTAAGATTTAGAGTTAGAAAGTATATATTAGTTAATAGTTAGCAGGTTAGAGTAGGATTTAAAGTTAAAGAGTATATATTAGTTAGTTAGTAGTAACAGATTAGGATTTAGAGTTAGAAAGTATATATTAGTTAGTTAATTAGTAGTTAGGGTTAGGGTTCTGAGTTAGAAAGTATTTGTTAGTAATAGTTAGTTAGCGAATTTAGAGTTAGAGTTTCGAGTTAGAAAGTATTTATTAGTAGTAGTTAGTTGGCGAATTTAGGGTTAGAGTTAAAAGATATTAGATAGTAGATTATAAGTAATATAGTATTAACAACAAGTGATTGAAACCTGTTTGCTACTAGATGTGACAAATTATATAATATGACAAATATATACTATTTATATAAGTAAATTAGTTAATAATTCATTGTCACATCTATAATTGGTCACACCCAGTAGTATAATAACATATAATATATATTATTTATATAATTATATAGTATAATTATATAATATATATATATATATTATATAGTATAGGCTATATGTAGTTATGCTATATGTAAATTTTCTCTAATTATATATTAATAATATAATTAATATATAATAAATATATAATTAATATATACTCTTAAAAACTCTTTCTGTCTATCACTTGTACACAAAATTTCGCCCAAAAATTTTTTAAGTTTTCTTTAATTTACAGAAACTTTTACTAAGTTAATAACTCTTTGATCCTTAAACAAACTTGTTCAGCTACTACATTTACATATACCCACAAAGTTTCAAGTCTCTATCTATCGACAGTACCAAGATATTCGACTTTCAAAGTCAGACAGACAAAAGTCTGTTCTCCCCCCAAAGTTTGCCTCTCCTGGCAAACTGGGCTTAATAATATCTTCATATACCATAATAGAAATTGTAGAGCTCATCCACAGCTTCATAACAAGCTATAGCATGTCAATTTTGACCC